TACTAAATAATAAGTTTTTTCCTTCATCTTGCTGCCCATTTCCTCATTCATTTTAGAATTAATAAGCATTAAAAAACATTACAAGAGCATTTAAAAAATATTTCAAGTGAGCAAAAAAAAAAATAGAAAACATTTTTACCTTCCAAATATAGCAGCACTAACTGCTTTCCCGTGCATTGACTTTTCGCTATAGATACTTAAACGTGACTAGAGGCGCTTCACATGGCCACAACTAATGTGGGTCACTTATCGATTGTGACTCTTATTTTTCCTGTTGTTGTCTGCCCACAATTTAATATGAAGGCAATTTTATCATTTAATTCCACTTTAGAGGCTTGCGTTCGTATGATTTTACATGTCTATATCTCGTACTCGTCATTTTTTCCAATCAAAATCAATTGAAATCTATTAAGACTGTCTTGAGGAAATCTTGTCTTGAATTATTATTGATCAAACTTGTTGCGAATACAAAATAGATTCTTTTCTCTGTTTTCTGCCTCCTTCACCTCCTACTTCCACACAAAAACACGTGTTTTTCTTCTCAATAAATTTTGTGGCATTTCCCTTTCAAGTTTCTTTTTTTTGCCTTTTTTCTCTTTCTAAGCATTACAACGAAGAAAATGTAGCTTCGCATTGACGAAGGTCAAAAGAGCATTTTTATGAAGTAGCCTTTAGTGAGCATGACAGCTGTTGTAATGTCTAGAATGAATTGGATGTTTATTTGCCTTGAATTATTAGAATTAAGTTTGCTATTTTGGGAAGGAACACATTATGGGCACAAATAATACCCTTCCCATTGCATCCCCACAAGAACTAGATTAATACGCTAGAAAACCAATTAATAGAACTCACATTAAGGCAGCAAAGAAGCAAAGAGCGGAAAAATATAACGATTATCTTGTTACATTTCCATCAGTCTAAGCCGCTTGCTATGTATGTACTTAGGAAATTAATCCAATAACATTATAATTTGATGAGAATTTATGCTGTTATCAATTTTTACGAGTTCAAACTCAATAAAATGAATGAAAAACTAATTTTCTGTTGAATATTGAGTTAATGTTGGAGGTGAAGGGGGTAACAGCTTGGTGGGGAATAGTTTTGGATGGATTTTTTCATCATTTCTAGCCTAAATTAAGATAGGTTGAGAGTAGATTCAATTGGCAAAAAAATTAAAATCAGAACTATTCCCAACATGTTGTTATCCCCTTTGATGTGGAGGCAAAACTAAAATCAATAGGAAGAAAATTGCTTTAGGAAGTTGAAGTTTAAGAAAAAGAATAAAAAAAAAATATCCAACGACGTCATAAAAATACCTCAACATCTTCTTTATCGTTCTGTAAACCAATTCAAGCTGATTTCATTGAAAAATCCCACAATCTAGGAATGTAAATAAACAAAAACAAAAAAAGTTTTTTTGAAAGAAAAACAAGAAAGTTTTGAGCTTGAGTTGCCCATGAATGGCGTGATTGAAAAAGCAAAGAATACAAAGTATCGCTTCCATTCGATTATATATTTACGTAATGGAAAAATTTTCCTACATTTGCTTTCAATTTTACTTATGACATCATCGTAATCACAAAACCGGCACACAAAAAAACTGAATGAATTTTTTTTTGTGCTTCTTTTTCTTCTCAATTACTTGTTATTAATATGTATCGTGTGTGTGCGAGGGGCTCTCGTACATGCTTAAATACGATTATACCTGATGTGTATAATGAAGATGTGAAATATATAATGCAGAAATATTAATGACTTTCGTGAGCTCTTAAAAAACAAAACTAACGAAAATGAAAACTTTGTTGTTTTTTGGTGGCGTGATTTTCTATGAGCAACAGCTTTAATAGTTTTTTAAGTTTTTTTAATAGCCGATTAATTTGTTTGTTGGTCTTTCTACTCATCGGTAAGCTGAACTGTAGATTATAAAAATTAATCATTCGTTTGTTCAATTAAAAAGCTTAGGAATTTCAATGTTTGAAATTTAATTCGTGTTTCCATAGCCGTAGTGCGTTGGTGTGGGTATAATATCAATTGGAGTATGGAACTGCGTCATTTTTGGGGTAGAAAGTATGAAAAATACATGATCAAGCTGGGCTCATTGCCGTGCTTAGAGAACGTTTAAAGCTAGCTCTATCCTTCGACAGCTTCTGCCAGTTCGAGATATTCAAGACTCTTGCGTTCTCTTCAACTCAACTCTCTTCTCTTTCCATCCACAAAGTCTGCTAGAGTTACTTTCAGTACCGGGACATCCTGTAAGCGTGTTTTTAAAGATATGATAAGCTTTTAGTTGATTAATCCTTGAAAATCTAGACAGTCGTGCTCAAACTTTGCTCCGTGGTACACAACCAGTACGAAAATACATTTCAGAATTCACCTTAGATAACCTCAATTTCCACATTTTACATAAAACAATTCACGCTTTTTCTAATTAGTAAACAAACTCTAATTACAAAATATAGATGCGATGCGCTAAAAAACTATCGCTATCAAGCTACTCTCAAACTATATTCTCAAGTGGCGTTTTCTCCCCAATGGCCTTGTTCGATTTTTCCTTACATTTTCATCATCTGCGTATTATTTATTTTTGCAAGAAAAATTGTTTCAATCTCAAAACATTTTTTAAAAACGTCTGATTTGTTTTCTTCTGTGTCATACAAAGCGAAGAAGTAAAGTAAAAACGTGCGTATACATTACAGTCGAGCGCTTCAGTTTTTTGGCTTCTTCCTCCTTGCTCATATTGTTCATAATTTATTGTCAATTTTTATGAATGAATGTAAAACAACAACAAACGGTACGTGACAAGCGATGCACGTGCTCGAGGAGAAAAGCGATTTTTTTTCTGTACTGATCTGGGGATTGTTTTGTGATGCTGTGGGAATTAATCTAGAGACACAGCAGAATTAACTGTCTTGTTGGCTTTTTAAGCACATTAATCATGTCTAATCTAGATTTTACTGGTTGTAGAGTGTATGGTGCAACTTAAAGTCATAGTCTTGATGCTACTGAACTAATAGGCTCTCCTGATTCCCTAAAATACCCAAAAATTTAACTAATTAAGGTTTAATAACCCTTAATAAGATTCAGAACCTCTGATTAAAGCTTCATTGTCTTAATTGAAGTTCAAGAACCTGGGTTAAGATTAAAAAGCCTGACTCAGGTCTAGAAATCCTGATAAAGGTTCAGAAGCCCTGACTAAGGATCAAAACCCTGTTTTAGGTTCAGAAACCCTGACTAAGGTTCCAAAACCCTGATTGAGGTTCAAGAACCCTGTTTAAGATTTAAACCTTGATTAAAGTCTAAAAACTCTGATTAATGTTTAGAAACCCTGACTAAAATTGCAAAACCCTGATTAAGGTTCAGTACCCCTGACCAAGATCACAAAACCATAACAAACTAGCCCCAGACATGATACAATACAAGATAAATGAGACTTAAGTGGAAGCACGGAAACCTTTCATATCTCCAAGCAGCAGATAAATCCATTGAATCTCCCATCATGTGTATCGCTTACGTGTTCTCTACAGAAAAAACATATAATACATGTAAAATGCAAAGTGCTCAATCAATAAACGATGAAAAATTTGTTTCATCATCAGAAAATTCATATACACATCTAGACCTACACACAAGACTGTATATTATCTATTCAAACAGAAGTATCATCGTTGTTTAGCTGTGCAAGTTGGAGAGAAACAAGATATTTTCATCTCTCTGACAACATGTCACTCTGCATTAAGATTGAAATTTAGTACGTGATGAATAGATCAATTTCATCTTCTATCCATAATTCATTCGATCGTTATGAAAATGAAAATGAATATGGAAATGACAAGAAAATGGATGTTGGCTTATTTGTGAATGAAATAAATCGGGCATGTGATTATTATTTTTTTTTTTGGATAGTGTGGGTAAGATAAGATGCCTAACCATTAAAATAAGCATGTGCTATATTTTTTAACTTTTCATTTACGTTATTTATGAACGAACCCCCTTAAATATTGTTCAATTTATCACAAAATGAAATTGGCAACAGCTGGGATTGTCAAAATTCGAATATAATATAATAATACTTGTTCTTATTCCACTTATGACGTCCGGGGGGGGGGGGGGGGTCAGCAAGAAAAGAACAATAGAAATTCCTGGAAATCCATTGTTCTCTTTTGAAAAATGACTGTTATTTTCGGAAATGTCAAAGTTTCCAACTTGTTTCCATTAAAAACTAAAATTTCCATCAATACCCTTGAAACTCTCACTCCGATTAATGATTGACACGTTGTTGTAATCAACTTAATGAAAAGTTGACTGACTGAATGAGCAGCTGGATGAATAATTAGCTAATTGACCGATAGTATATACAAAATCTCAAAAAGGCATAAATCAGGTGTGAAAATAGCAAATATGACAAGAATGGTACTTAACAGACACAATTAACATTATTTGTGTATTTTATCATGACCACCTTAATATTTTTCAAGGTTTGCAAGCTTTTTTTTGCAAATTCATCAACTATTTCAACTTGTGTCGAAATTACTCTCATATTTCACCGCAAAAAAAGGAGCAAAAATCGTTTAAAATCGCATTTAATACAATTTTGTTGAACTTGAAAAGTCATTAAATAGTTGAGCAATGAATGTGTCTGAATGTTTTTAATTAATTTTAATGAAATGGGTCATAAACTTGACTTTTTGTGATGAACAAAAACAACCAAAAAAAGTTTCTCAAATGTAATTAATACAAAATGTTTATGAGTCAGGGGTTTGGGGTTATGGGACACTTCTTGGTTTGCTATTTGGGGTCAATCATCAGTAATGTCACTTGAGGCTGTGACATCATTGACGAACGACCACCAGAATCCAAAGTTCAGCTTCCTTTAATCCTAATTCCAACAAACAAATTCTACAAATTCCCATAAAGGTCAGCACCCCTGACCAATAAACGCTCCTCAAAAAACGAAATAAATTCGATGCTAATATGCCAAATAAATTCTCATCTCATTTCAGCCTGAGTCACTCAAGCAACAAAGTAGAAAATTCAATTGACAGCAATGGAGCCAATAGGCGAAGCATCAATTTTGATGCCAATGATGCCGAGGGATTTATCGTCAGATAGTTTACGATACAACGAAGACGGCTATTTCCGTAGTATACATGACGAAGAGACACCACGAAAAGAAAAGTCATCGAAAAATATCAACTACATTAGTATCAACGAAAAGAGTCCGAATTCAAGTCCAAAGGATGATAAAGTCACGAATAGTGCGAAAAAGTCATCGAAGATAAAAATTAAGAAGAAAAATTCGATTGGATCGATGAACCCAGTGGAATTACAGCCTACAATTGTTGGTTATAATAATCAATGCTTAGCAGTTCCAATACCTAATAATAATAAATCACATAGCTTGCCACCAAATTCCTCAATACAAGATCTCGACGACATTGTCATGAGTGCATTGCGTATCCCACCGGAGGAACTAGCACAACAAATAACTCTTCTTGATCTAACGACTTTCCAGCAAATTAAGATGGATGAGTTAACGAGTTGTGCATGGACGAAGAAGAATAAAGGAATTATAACACCAAATATCGTCGCATTTACAAGACGTTTTAATCACACGAGCTTCTGGACAGTTCAAGAAATTCTCAACGGGGGAAATGCGAAAGAACGTGCTGAAATTGTAACACATTTTATTAAGCTAGGCAAGCGACTATTGGAACTGAATAATTTACATTCATTATTTGCTGTGACGTCCGCATTGAAATCAGCGAGTGTTCATCGTCTTGAAAAGACTTGGTCACATGTTTCGAAGAAGGATCGACAAGCGTTTGAGAAGCTTGCTGACATTTATAAAGAAGACAATAATTGGGCAAATTTACGTGAGATTTGTGATAAACTGAAGCTTCCCTGCATTCCATACTTGGGCGTTTATTTGACTGACTTAATTTACATCGATCTCGCGCATCCTCTTAGAGGCGGTGGCATCGAACCTGAACAACGTGAAATTAAAATGAATAATATATTGAGAGTGATTTCAATTTATCAAAATTCTGATTATTCTCACATACTCGTCGTTGAGAGAACGAGGAAATATTTACAGTCTGTACGCTATATTGAGGAGCTGCAAAATATTTTTGAAGATGAACAGTACAAGTGAGTTTAATTGATGATGAATTGATGAGTTTTGAGATAAAATTGTCGATTGCTTATTAGTAATTAATGGAGATGCTAAGCAGACTTTTTTGGGTTTTCTACAAACTTTTGAGTCTGCTGGATGTTTAAGAATTTTCTTTGACTAATCTTTTATTAGATCTTGAAATCTTTTATTCCTTGGCATGCAAGACAACATCCTATGGTCACCCCCTGCTTGCTACGTCCTTTTCTTACTCCCCAAATAGTTCCCTAATAATTGAAATATTTTTCAAATTTTAGAAAATCCCTCAAACTCGAGCCTCCTGCAAAGAATCAAGCAAAACCAGACGCTTCCACATCGTCAATGAATCAAGGTGCCAATAACTTTTGCAATCTAGAATCAGGAATAGCTTCCTTAAACGTCTCGCCAGCAAAATCAAGCTCAATGCGCTTAAATGTTGGACCATCAACGAAATTTTCACTTGGACATCGGAAAACGCAAAGTCTAGGATCAAAGTGAGTACAAGGAACGATGAGATTATTTGACTTAATTTGCTGTCTCACCGTATTTTGGCTGTCATAAGATTCATTCTCACATATATATTTAGCGTACTTTTTTTGAGTATTGCTAGGTGTTCAATGTAGATCAAATAATTTCGAACTTTTGTCATCTTCCTTCTTCCTTTTAATTTAGTTCAATTTATTTTGTATTCTCTAAATTTGTCACTCATTCTTGTAAATAATTTATTCAAAAAGTCATGAAAAAAAAATTATTTTTGATTATTTTTTTTTTATTCGCTGTAATATCAATTCTATAATTGTCACCCTCAAATCATGCTTCTCTGTATCAGATATCGAAGTGCGAGTCTACCGCGAAATTATGAGAACCACAAAAATCAAAATTGTAATTGTAATAATGCAACATTGATCACTTTATCTGCTGGTAGTAGATGTAGTTCCTGTCGGTGAGTCTCACGTAACAAAAAAACAAATCAAGTAACAACACATACTCAAATTTCATCATTTTTTTCTGTTCCTTTATGTATTTCCCCCCTTATTTTATTTTTTTTTTCTATTTCTGTTCTGATGTTGGTTTCTTGGATTTTATTTACTGTCCTACTTATTTAATGGTGTGGTACATTGTGGAATCTTGGGATTAATGTTTATTATGTAATGATACATTCTGTATATTTATAAAATTCTTATCATCTTTGGTTTCAGTGGTGATAAACCTTTTTTGGGCTGTGGTTCACTTCAACCTTAAAAATATTTCCATGGCTAATCAATTTACTGCGGTTTATAGGTTGACTACCACCAGGGGCGTAGCCAGAGGGGAGGGGGGCATAGGGGGCCCGGGCCCCCTATACGAAAATCTGATAATTGTTTTATTAAGTATTTATATAGAAGAACCAGATAATGTAGAGGAAGTGATGAAAGAAATGTCAAAATCAGCCTTGAAAAATTAAATTTAATGTATGAATAATGAATTAAATATTTAAACTTATGAAGAATGAATATAGATTTAAGGATACAAAATAACGGTTTTTTAATTTTCGAAAATGGCCCCCCCCCCTTAAAAATTTTCTGGCTACGCCTTTGACTACCACTGTATAGAGTATAAGGTGGTTCAATAACAATGTGAAACGATTCCAGCTAAGCAATATGACGAGCTGAAAGCATTGTAATCGTTATTGACTGAAGAATCTATTGAACCATAATTATACGGGGTTGGTTTAAAAGCTTTGGATTGATGTTCTTGTATGTCTGGTTTTTGTTGGTAACTCCTTAAGTTTTATGGCTTAGACCTAATGACTTTACGATTATATCACATCAAAAAATGGAGTTAAGTTTGATAAGCAAGGGAAGAGGTCTAATAGCTTATGAAACTGGAGGCAAGGGTGGGCTAAGGTACAGCTAGAGTTTACACGATTCATTGTTTAAGCCAATGAAGCAAAGCATTTAGAAAATGACACAGTCGAGTATGTCGAATTGTAACCCGGAAAGCAAAAGTCGGTTAATCGATCAGAAATCTGGCATGGCTCTTGCATTCGATATAAATCGAATCCAGCTCTATGCCAAAGCCACGTCGGCTTGGCTTGGGATTTCTAATTGATTAACCGACTTGTAATACCCAGGGAGATGATGATACCAAGCCATGCCAAGAAAACACTCCTGGAGAGGGCATGGCTATTTATAATCTACTCAAAATTTTCGCTGAAAATCACGGCAATCACCATTAATTTCACATGCAATCAACTCACATCCCACCTAATTTCAAGTATCCACAATTATTTATGTCTTATTATCTTACTTTCACTTTGGTTTGTCTTATTTTTTTCACAATTTATTTCACTTCTGTTCTTCTTAGTTATTGTTTTTCTAAGCACATTATCATCTTTTCTCGTTTACTTCATTTTTCATCTTTTTTTTGTAAATGCAAAAATCGTTTTTTCTTTTCTTCGTAGCTCACATTCTTATTCTTTTTGTTTATCTCTTTGTATATGCTCAATTTAACGAAAGATTCGCAAAATATTTTTCTTATTCTTCGTTCATGAATAAAAAAAGTCAACCTACATGCTGGTTGTTGATGGAAAAAATATTGTTGTAGGCAGAGGCATGAAAAGGCCTAAAAGAACTTGAAGTCATTTAAGATGATGAGGAGAAATCTGAAAATCTTATAAAAACAATTTAAGGATAATTTGGAGTATTATGAGAGGAAAAAGCAATTGAAGTGGATTTTGGCAGGTTGAAATAATAAGATCTGAATGGATATGACTTTGTGCTTTGCTTCAGGATTGATATTTGCACAGAGAAATGATATCAAAATATTTGAACTTCCTGAAAGCGTTTTAGCTTCACAAATTGTTCTTAAAACAAAAGTTAAAGCATTGACGACAGATTTTGATATTCTTTAGGGTACAAGATGAGTTTGTTCGGTGCATGGCTGACTGTCAATCCTTTATAACATTAATGTTGACTCATTGAAACGCAATACTACACAAACTATTGCTCTGCGATACTCTATGCCAAATATAAAGTGTTCTTCACCCTAAACCACAAAGATCTTGATCTGAACCTGGAATCCTTGTTTTATCAAGCTCAGATCAAGCTCTTTGTTGGTTACAGTCCCCAAAAAAGTAAAGAGCAAACAATAAACTTAGAATATATCCAGCTTACCGATGAGTAGAAAGACCAACAAACAAATTAATCGGCTATTAAAAAAACTTAAAAAACTATTAAAGCTGTTGCTCATAGAAAATCACGCCACCAAAAAACAACAAAGTTTTCATTTTCGTTAGTTTTGTTTTTTAAGAGCTCACGAAAGTCCAAGATATATAGATGTGCTCATACAAAAATATCACAGTTTTTAAACGTCAAAAATTTGAATTTTCTAAAAACACTAACACTATAAAAGAAAATTTTCAATTTTTGTTTTGCAAAATTTTCAACTTTCTGTTAAGTTTTGTTGATACAGGAGTATTGCAAATGCTTTGCTATAATTTAAAGTAACTGACTAAAGTCAAATGTTGTTGCATCTGTCGATATTTAAATGAAAACTTGAAAATGGAAAATTTTAAAAATTTTTGTTTGTATAAGTACACAAAAAATAGTATGGTCGAGTATGGTCAAGTATACTCTGTATGAGCCCATCTATATATCTTGAATATATCACTGGATATCTCATATTCAGTCAAAAACATCAACTGAGTTGAAAAATCATAACTTCTGAAATATCTACCAATTAAACCTGGAACCTAGAGACTTGGATCGGCTAATTTACTCCCATTTGAGCTATACACTAATCTGTACAACCCCAGAAAGATTATAGTTGAACAAACAAGACATGTGGATACTCAATATTTTTTCAATCAACCCACAAAAGCACTCAGAACAACACAAAAGGCTAAAGAAACCAAACATACACTCTAATAACCCCTGACTTTATTCCATGTGCTCGGAATAAGAAAAAGAAATGCGAATTAAATTGAAACAAAATTCAAAACACCACTCAAAAAATTTCCCAATAATCATCTTAAACCTCTCATTCTCAATCTTCTTTCCCACAGCATTTTCCATAAGATCAGCAACCAAATTACACTACAACGAAACGAGTCATTCAACCACTCGAGAAACTTCAATTTAATTGATGACTCAGTACTTGAGGATACGACAAGTATCCATCATAATTCTCTTCATTTGCCGCTACAAAGTGATACGATATCGACTGGAAGTTCCGATGATATTATAGCATATGACGAGAGTGAAAGTTCAATAATTAATAATATTGATTCGCCATTGGATTGCGCGAGTTTCCAGGGGTGTGTAAGACGTAAGACTGTATTGAAAGATTTTCGTAAGCCAACAGTTTCTTCATGGCAGCGATATTGGCTACAAATATGGGCTAATAGTCTTGTGTACTTCCCTCCCAAGTCATTTAAAGGGTAAATCTTAAAAAATTTTCATTATTTTTTGAAATTTTTTTAAAAATTTCTTTTCTTTTTTTATTTTTTTATTTTTGAATTTTTTTAAGACTAACCCAACAAATGTTTTTCAGGAGTGAACGTTCAGACTTTAAGCGTGAACCATGTAAAGTTGTCTCTCTAGTTGAAGGATGGACAGTGGAGCTGACTGACAACTCATCGCAGACAAACACTTTTCAGCTAATGAACTCAAGCATCGGGACTGTCTACAAGTTTCGATGTAGCTCACATGACCTAACGATTGCATGGTTGAAGGCATTGCAGAAAGTAACAAGGCCATATGTTGAAAAATTGCCAACGAATCTCATGACTTTTGAATAAATTGATGACCAAAAAAAAATAATAAATACACACTTTACTTATGATATTTAGAATGGATATATTTAATGTAATAATGATAGTGAGGAATCAACTACAATTTATGTGTAGATGGAAACAGAACTAGCCTTTAATAATATTTTATCTGGGAGTTGGGAGGCTGTTGGTTGCTGATAAAGTGGCTAGGTTTTAAGTACTAAATTAAGGTCTGAATTTTAGTGCGAGTACTGAAACTCTCTTTTAGAAAAGTTCTTTTATGATTCTCACAATATCTGTATCAAGATCTACAACTAAGCCTAAATATGATCCACTTAAGAACCAACAAAACACAGCAACAACTCCCGACCTAAGATTTTATCGAAACAAATGACTCTCTCAGAAGTTCTGTAATTTCACTCAAGTAGTTCTTTGTAAAGATATTACACAAATGAATTTTGATAATTAATAAGTAAAGATAAAGTCATCAGAGACTATTGGTGACGTGGGGCATTTTTCTTCACATTTGATAAGTTTTACGGATCTGATCTTTTTGACAAAATTTTAGCAAATTTGTTCAAAACTTTGTTTAAAATGGGTTGGGGGAGGTGGATTGAATTTACAATTCCAATAAATCTCTGCCTTAGCATCGCTACTCTTATTATTAATCTGGTTTAATATTCAATTGAAGCTTTAGCTAGAATTAGAGTCATAAAAAGTTTGGAGATAATTAATTTTTAACAACCTGTGTAGGTTCGAATCCTTAAACATTTAAATTTGAAATTTAATAAATAATTGTTTTCTTAATTGTATATTTATTTTTTGAATGATTTTCATTTGATTTCCAAAAGTCAACCTTATTTTTTGAATAATTCTGAAATCTATTAAACTGTAAAATTTCATGACACATCCCCCTCTTCCTCGTTATAAGCTAATGATCCCAAAGTCAAATTTCAAAAAAAAAATGCCCCCAAATAAATTTATCATATCTCATGTCAGTTGCTTGTCGTCATTACAAAAAAAAAAGGAATAATGAATTAACTTTAAACGCATGGAAAAATTATCAATGTAAAATATATCATTTTAGAAATTTAAAACAGATAAAAAGATATTCTTAAATTAATTCTAATTTGCGCAATTCAGTTGCCATTAAAATATTTCTGAGGAATTAATGCTCTTCTTTAATCAAAGCTTTAACTTTATTTTCTTTTTAAGCTTTTTAAAAGTAATGAAACATATGGATTAAAAATAAACTGAAAAAGGCTTTTGTACACCAAAATTTATATGAATCATTTTAATGAGTTTGTAAGTCTATAAAAAAAGTTATACAAAATTTGGAATAATGTTGACGTTCGATGGATTCAAATGGCTATGGTGCATTTTTCTGGAAGTTTTGTTTTTGATTTATTTTAGAAAAAATTGAAAAAAATTACAGAAGTCCTCGTGTTATTGATCGAGGGACTTAAGCGCATTTTTGTGTTAGCGATCAGCATAATTTTCATATAAAAAGGCTTTTAAATTCAACGGTTTTTTGAGATTCAAAAATTTTTAATGGTAGGAATAAATTCGAATTTCTAAACGCTCTCATCACGTGTTTTTTCATATGAAATATAAAAATCATTAATTATAGTACAAAAACACTGTTTCAGGACTTTTAAATGCGTTTCCCGAAAATAAAACAATGGACCTGAGCTAATAAAACAAACTAGAACTCTCTACGATGTCTAGTTAAAAAGTTTTTCTCCGCCCGAACAAACAGACATAGTGAGATATTAATCTACATTTTCGAAACAAGTTTCAAAAATGCGCTAAAAAGTTAAAAATTGAGGGAAAAATGTTTGAAAATTGAAATTCAGTAATTTTTTTAACTGTTAAAATTTTGCCCAAGTTGCATTATAGACAATAACCTAACTTGATTAATATTAAAATCAGATTACGGGTTCATATCCCATTTATAGATATAATTAGAAATTTGTGAATTTTGCATTTTCATTTTTTTTTTGAATTTTTTTAAATTATTTTGTTGTTCAAAATCTCCAGAAAAATGCGCCAAAAATGTTAAAAACTATTACATAATTTATCGATAAAATTATTGGATAACTCATGGCATATCATAAGTAATCTCATCAAAAAAATTACAATAAAAAAAATATGTAAAAAATTCAAAAAACATTTGTTTCATTTCTATTATTTGCAGGAAAATGTTTCACATTCCTGTCGTGGAATTTAGGTGAATTTTTTGTTTTCAAATGATATATTTCCGATGCAATTGGAATTGCCTGAAGTGTGTTGTAAATTTTAAAATATTTTTGTGAAGTTGGCTTGAAATTAATGCTTTTGACTGTTTCTTAAGCATGAAAGTATTTGAATCCAAATCCTCATCCACCTTGCCTAGGATGACCATATATATTTTGAAAATATAGAGGAAAGTAAAATAGAGGACATCCCACGTGTCAACCAATTTTATTCGTTTTCTGGACGAACAAAACAAAACAATTTCATTTTTGGAAATTGAAAAAATAGAGGATTGTTCTCTGAAAAATCAAGCAGGTGGGCAGCTTAAACTTGCCTCTTAATGACCTTAATTTGTTGAATTCATCAAAAAAGTTAAACAATTGGACCAGTGTTGCAAATGTAGATGAAGAATGTAGAATTGTAAAAATCTACATCGAATCTTTATGTAGACAGAATCTTTATGTAGAAATAATCTTTGTGTAGATTAGATTTTCTATTTTCACATAGAATCGATCTTTATGAAGAAATTTCTGTCTCAGAATTTATCTGATCCAGACAAATCGCCAGAATGCAACACTGAATTGGACTTTAAATGCTCGAAAATTACAATATTTCTGGTTCGAATCCTATTCATTGAAAATTCTCTATCCTTTTTTTGTTGTCATCAAAATCGAATGTGAAGAATGAAAAGCTTTTAATAATCTATTTTATTTTAAAAACCCACCAAACTTCACCCAAGTACTTCATGGGAAGCTTCCGATTCAAACAAGCAATTAAACATTCAGATCGCACCATTTTTTTGTCTATTTTCGCCGCTTTTATACTTTTCCGATGTGTGATATAATAGGATGCGTGATTTATTTGATAATGAGCCTTTTAGATAACGATTTATTGTTTTGGTATAAAACTGTAGCAAATGTTGCAATTCAAGCACAGTTTTGATTTTGACGTTTATGGAAGTTGATCGATTCGATATTTTTGGAAGCAACTGAAGGTGTTTTTTTAGTGCCAAAGATTTTAAGATAAATTTAAAAGGACTAATAGTGTCAAAAATATGAAGCTATTGGTTAGATAATTGATATATTTTGGTGACAAACTTAGTGATGTGACATTATTTATTGCAGTTCATCATCTTGGTGGTCATTCTGACACTCATGTCTGTTGGATTATGTGGAGCTGTTACCAAGTAAGTTTTAGCTTGATCAACAATTAAGAATCGATTGAACTTTGTAATTTGATGACTTATAAGAGTCATACTTGAAGTCCTGGATTAATAGATTCAATCAGAATATGTAGCTAGAACAGAGGAAAAGCTATCGAATCAGACAAGATAATCCCAGTGATCGAGCTCAAGACCATCGATGGATCATAAGCTAGCTTCATAACAGACACTCTGCCACTGTCTTTTTAAGCAATAAATTACTTTCATAACGTTTGCATGTCCATAATAAATTATATCCAAGATTTGGCAACAACCTGTCCATAAAATCCATTTGTAATGCTTACCTCCTTACTGCCCATCAATCTAAAGCTACAATTTAAATTTAATTACATAAACAAACAAGCTTCCAATCAAATATTTAAATTTCACCTAAAAACCTACTGAACGTAAGCTTAAATTGGCTAGCAACCAGCTCATGAATGTAATTTTACATTATATTGCGTGACATGACTGCCCAGAAATTGTCGATGCTTTGCCACCAACAACGAATTAATTTTTCCTTCCCATTAAACATATTCAACAGCATAATTCATAATTTTCATTGCATTTATTTTTTGGGGACACATTTTCGTAGCTGATTCCAAAAAAAAAAAAAACAAAAGAAAATTTTCTTTGGAAAAGCTTAATTGTTTTGAAATTATTTATCCATATAGTGTCATTCACTCGGTTGCTGATGGTGCACATGATGGATTATGGAAGAAGAAATGGTCATGGAAGGCTAAGTGGGTAAAACACTGGAAACCAAAGACAATCTATGTATCAAATTGGTAAGTGATGAGCCCTCGAAAACTATAAATGACCTTTCTCATGACTTAATAATCAACTTTCTCTTACTTCCAGGACTCGAGTATGGACACCCTTCAAAACTACAGAATATATCCCATTTCAATCTATTCCACCTCCTTCATCACCACATGATGTCATAAAATCCAGCACTCACTATCACAAATAAGCTATCAGCAACAACAATATTAGTTATTAAGTAAGCTAAATACTAAAGACTGTACGTTAACCATGCGTTAAATAAAATCTTGTTAAGCTCTTGTTTTTACAAATGTTTCTGGTTGTTAAATCTTTCAATAAATTATTAGTAATCGGACATTAAACTTATGCTCAATAAGCAGATGTGAAAGTTTTCTTTTTATTGCTTTTTGATCTGCTAAATTAATCTATGTTTATTAAAGATCTTATTTTCTTGTCTACTGGTCAGTGATTTGATTATTTGTTGCTGACTAAGTTTCTTATTTTGAAGATGAGTTTGAAGATCTGAATTGCTTGTTATTGGTCATCTTTATTGGGTTTTTTGATTTTATATGACATGATCTAAGTTATGTCTTGACATTTTATCGCTTGGACATGTCGTCAGCAAGCTGATTTGGATACAGTTGATTAAGGCAGCTATTTCGAATGGCACAACTCGGTTAATCGAATAAAAATCCGGCTCCCAACCAACATGACTCTGAAATAAGGCTGGCTTCGATTTAAATTCAGCACCATGCCAGAGTCACACCAGCTTAGTGACAAATTTCTGTTTGATTAACCGACTTGTGCCATTCGGGTATTCGATTAATGCATAAAAGGAAGTCTTGATTCCTGAAGATCAACATATTCATTCCAACGTTAACCCGCCTTTCATCCTCTTTTGACCTTCAGGATGATATAAGAACAAGGGGATAACAGCAATAAGAGATATGAGTAAGGATCATCAATTAGTCACCTTACTTGAAAAATCATTAAAAGTCATTTTACATTGTCAAAATAATTTATTTCTCTTCCTTCTTTATTTCTTTTAAGTCATTTGTCTTTAAAAAAAATTATTTTCTACTTAAAATATAACGCATTAAGTACAACATTTATGGACTAAAAACAGAACAATAAAAACTATTAACATAATGAGTAGTAATGAGGAATGGAAAATGCATAAGTATGAAAAATAAAACTTATTTTTGGAATAGATTATCGTGATTTAATAGATGTTGTAGTTGCTTCTACAGCTTGTTGTGTATTTGATGGCGATTCGGTGACGGCTGATGTCACTGATCCTGAATTATCACGTTTCCAAAGAACTTTGGCTTGACTAGTTAAATCTGTTCGATCCCAACCCACATCATGATGATGATGATGGTCATCGTGGTGATCTGGTGTTGGGAACCACTCATTAATGATGACTGGTCTCCAAATCTTTTTCCATGCTGGAAGCCAAATCTCTTTATAGTCTGGTACCCAAATTTGTTTCCATGCTTCTTTCCATTCAAGCTTCTTGTCTGGCACGTATTCGAGTTTTTTCGATGGCTGGAAGGATTTTGATTTTATAAGGAAATAGATTTTTTGAGGTTATGCATCAACTTACCTTCCACACTTTCTGCCATGCTTCAATCCATGTAAGTTTCTTGTCAGGTACCCAAGTTTGTACTTTATCTGTTCTCCAGACTTGTTTCCATGCTTCCTTCCATGCTAATTTCTTATCTTCAACCCAAATTTGCTTCTGTTCTGTTCTCCACACCTGTTTATAGTCCTCAATCCAAGTGAGCTTTTTATGTGGAACCCAGATTTGTTTCTTTGATGGCACCCAAATCTTCTTCCATGCGCTCTTCCACACCAACTTTTTCTTCCAAAGATCATGCGATGTATATTCCCATCCTTCGTGATCCTTTCCCAAAAATTTCTCACCTGGAATTCCAACTTTAACCCTGAAAGTGTTTCAAAAATGACATGGAAGTTAATCCAGTTGATAAATAGCTTTAAAACCTTACCATTTTGGCACCCAATATTGTTTCCAAGCTGGCACTTGAATCTCTTTCCATGCTGGGACTTGAATTTCTACCCATTTTGGTTTCTAGAGTGTAAATGAAAATTAGTAAAAGATTCTGGTAAGTTCCAACTCACAAATGGAGCCTTAAGTTACTCTGACACTTGTTTATTTTAAGCAAAACTATTCATAAGGAAGCAAAGACAAAGAACCTACCCAAATCTTCTTCCAATCTGGAACTTGAACGTCTTTCCATGCTTCCTTCTTGTAAGGTACCCAAATCTATGGTAAATGACGCATTATTAATCAAATAGAGTCGGTCAAAAATTAAGAATCATCTTACAGGTTTCCATATTTTCTTCCAGTCTGGCACCTTAACTTCTTTCCATGCTGGAACCTTTATTTCAACCCATTTTGGTTTCCAAATTTTCTTGAATGCTGGCACTTGAATATCTTTCCAGACTGGGACATTTATTGGAACCCAAATTGGTTTCTGGAATTTTTAAGAATATTTTATTAATTTTTAAGGCTTGAAAATTGAGAGTTTTGTGGTTCTTACCCAAATTTTCTTCCAGTCAGGCTTCCAAATCTGCTTCTTTCCAGGTTTCTGTAAATTTATGGAAATGAAAATTTCAAAATTTCTCAAATTAAGTCATTAAGTCTTACCCAATACTTTTTCCACCCCTCCTTCCAAATGACTTTTTTCTTCCAAAATCCAGGATCGTGTTCTTCATGATGATGATCGTGGTGCAAATGTTCATGATTGTCCACTAATAATCCTAAATCCCCTATCCTCTGCTGTGCAATTTGTGAATTACTGACTTGTGACTCGGCTGCTTCTTGATCAGTGACTGCTTTTGATGCTACAAAAGCTATGTGAACATGCAACAGGCCAAGGGTAAATACCTAAGAATTAGCAAAGATAAAAATAAAAGTTATGGACGGAAAAGAATTGATAATAAATCAAGACTTGAAAAATTGCAGACAATGAAGTTATTATCAATTGTTATGGATCTGTTTATTGTTCATTGACATCATAAAATACACCGAAAATAACTGCGAGTAGCTACTTCAAGATCATTAACACAGAAACTCAACAACAAAATGAATGAAAGTAAATCATTATGAGTCGTTGTGCTTCTTTTTCTTCTTTGTCTGCTGTGCAGAAAATTTTCATTTTCAATGTCATGTTCGCAATTTTTGTTGTGGTTGCTTGTAATGCAAGTTGGAAGTTTTGGTATGAGTTCTTGTCAAAGCGCTGCCAATATGCTATAATTTGGTGTAGTTTTCCGGCGATTGAGTTCTGGCCAAGCTGATGAAGAACTCAATTCTTGTCAAAAAGACAAAATGTCAACAATCAATTCCGTCTTGACATCAACAACTTTCAGTATGTCTTCCTAGTTCACACAGATTTAAAAAGTCATTCAAGTCTATTAAGTTGTAAGGGCTTTTGTCACTTGACACCTCCAAATGACGTCGATTATGAAATGAAAGGTGTTGGAATGAATGGGAAAAATCCACTTTCACTACGAATATACTCAAGACATTGTGCATGCTTTTGACTTCTATTGTTATTAATTATTATTTATAGAAATTACTTAATGAAAAACATTAATTATGAACAGCTATCAATTCATTGTCTAGTGTCGTATGACATCAATTTTACAGACATGCTTGAAATTTTATAATTATAATGGCTTACATCATAATTACTTAAATTGAATAAGTCATCAAAAGGGACAGTGAAATTAACGTTTGTTGATAACATAGTACAGGAGGTCAAGCCTGAGTTGCATAACCTTAATGCTGGAAGATTTATGCTAACTTCTTTATTTGCCTTGAGTATGTCTGATTTATGGCGGCTTTATCTTCAAAAATTAGCATCATTGCTACAGGTGGTCATTGTGGGATGAACGTTAAGCTACAAATTGATGCTTAGCATCTAAGTTGCCTTTAATTACAGTTTTTGAGGTTATCATTCATCTTTAAACCCTTCTCATCTCAGTTCTCAGGTGGAACTAAGATAGACTCATGACTAGCATCACTATTCCCTCTATCAACCTTACCAAACTTGATGACAATCTCTTGAAACATTTTCACATCAACTTCATTACAACTTTCAACTCAAACCATATTTTCAACCCACAAGCATGCATGTTCTGTCACCATAACATAGCTTTAATAACCAGCCATTAACCCGCGTCAATTGCTATTAACCACTCAATATTTCATGAAATTTGAAATGAATAAATTGATATGATAATTGCTGATCATTCCGCTGCATTAAGTATCACATCTATAAAGTTTCAAGCATTTAATGAAGAGCAAGACTCATTTTTGTGTAATTTTAAATGGAAATGAAGTGAATGGACAATAACTGTTAACATCAAGTCAAGCAACATAATCAATAATTCAAATACCAAATTAAAAAGTGGAAATAAAATTGCTATCATTATTGCTGCTTCTGTTTACGAATGAGAGTGGAATGAGAGAAATGAGATAAAAGTATATAGCTAATGATCAAGTCACACGTGAAGGAAAGGTAAATTGTGTTTACATATTTGATGCTTTAAAAGCCGGTTTGCGCGCAAATTTAGCTGCATTGTGGATGTTATGAGATAATTCATTCATATTTGTTGCGGAAGCTGAGCTCAAAAAGGTATGTATAGGAAATGATTGAAATTTCAGAAATTGGTATGAGTTGAATTTTGAGAATTTTAAGTAGATTTGACTGGCCAAGAGTGATATGATTGATCTTTGATAGTTGATTGTTGTTAACTGGATACCCAAAAAATTGAACAGAACTCTGTTCATCCAGGGAAACTCAAGATGTTCCCAATTAAATCAATGCCTCAATCATAATGATCTATTCCCTAAGATTAATTGACGATTTATCAAAAACCAAGTCAAACTCGAGAAGAAATAAGGTTCAATCTAAATTAGCAACTAACCTGCCTGCCTTTCCTACAAACAAAGCATTATCAAAGTCGCAAAGCTCTACCTTTTTTTACACAATCCAATTCAACATTTTTCATGCCACTTATAGCCAAGACAGACACGACACATGTTTTAGCGATATTGTTTACTTTATATCTCGTAATGTTCGCAATTAGGTTGACTTTTGGTATGAGGAAAATTTCCTTATTGAGGGCAATGTGGAACTTGATTGCCATTTGTCGCAGAAAATTAAATTTCATTCATATTGACTGCTTGAAGAGATGGAAATGTATCAAATTGGGGAACATTGAAAGCAATCATCTTCTTGGACATTAGACAGCACAAGTAACTTTTTGGAATGGTTTTCGTGATGCTTTAATCATAAGCACATATCAAATTTGTTCAACATTGTTTTTTGTTGACGTTTAAGCATGTTAATGAACTTCTTTGAATGGATGAGCAATGATTTGTCTTCGGCACGAGACAAACAACTTTTAATTTAGTTCGTCTATGAAGTTATTCCGAAGATTACGAGTGGAAGTTGTTAGTATCTTCCTGAATATGATAATTGCCAAATCGTCTTCAATGAATGTCATTTTCAGTCAAATTTTCACATTCATTAATACCACAATGTCAATTTTCAATTTCCCAATTATTTTCTATAAAAGAAATGGAATATATAAGTTCCAAGACGTAAAATAATATTATGCAATTCCTACACCTACGCTAATTTTATACAGAAATATTTTCATTTTCGCACACATGACTGACACTAGCTTCCTAACGTGGTGATGTTAAGTAAATATTATGCAGAAAGACTTTCGCGAATGAACAAGACAGACGACAAGAAGAGAGGAAGAAAACCTTAGCGCGAGATGATTAATGAGTGGATGGTGTTGATTTAAGAATTAAATCATATTCTCAGGCATTTTGAAAAATTGGCTCTTAATGCCTCAAGAATGTCATACAATTTGACAATTACTGCCTCAGACTTATTCCTCCTCTTGTTACACCTCTGCAACTACCTGACCTCAAAATGAAATTCCCAAAAAAAATATAATTTGCATGATCATCGTCACCAAAACCCACTCCAAAATATCCCGCAGTTGCAACACATCGCAATCCTCTTGCAAATATTCAAAACAGCACAAAGTCGAGGTATTACATAAAAGCAACACATATCTTGCAGCTTATATTTAGCTCATGCAATACACAAAACCTCCTCCGTCCTTATGACAGCACAGTTTTTTCCATAGTCTTTAAAGACAGTGAGTCACTCGAACTTCCATTTCACTTTCTGCAGAGAAAAAAAAAACCGCAACCAAAATAAAATTAAGTAATAAAGACTTCAATGAACTCAGATAAATGGATGGAAAAAGATGAAGAAATGTCTGCATTTATATCGGTCTTTGTGTCATTCGGACAAAAGGGAATGAAAATGAAAGTGTTACAAGAAGATTTCTTTCATTATTATGGCTAAGTACCGAGTAATTGCGTGAAGGAATTTTGATGTAACTTTTGTAATTGTTTCTTAATGATATGAATTGCTTGATGCAATTGACCTAAATGAGGTTGTATAACGTTGAATGGACTCTGTAGACTCAATGAAGAATGTAAGAAGAAGAAGAAGCTGACTTCAGAGATACTAAGTTGAGGTTAAAAAATATTTTCGCGCCAATAACTCTAGTTTTTGAGGTTTTCTCCTGAGTATATAACTTTTTAAGCATAATTTGAGAATTAAATATCAAATTAAGGTTATTCTATGTCCTGAAGTCTTCAAAATCCTAATAATGATCAATGCTCAAAACAAGTATTTAATCCAATCAAACCGATTACAAAACCAGAGCACTTAAATATTATCATGTGCGTATTTCTTGATGATTTAATTTGTTTTTCTTTTCTATTAGCAGCCATGCGACTTACTCTTTATTTTCATATAATGTGCACTCGCACTAAAATTTCACTTTACACGACCGATTGCGCTACAAATTGATTATAAGTGCACATAAAAGTATGAAAATTAATATGAAATAATAAGTGTGTACTTATGCCGATCATACTTTCAAACACTTGATGGTAAAGTGAGGTAGGATCAGCTGGATATTATAATCTGCATTGCTTATGATCAGCATGCATGCAATGAGTTTTAAAGGTGAGAAAGATCTGAGGATTATTAATGGGATTGCAACTGATGTGGAGGCTTGAATATGGTGAGATGCTAATTTGGAAGTGTTGCAAGCTAGTTTGTAAAATAACGCATTTAATATCTTTGTAAAGCTACGAAATTCTTAAGGCTGATGGCAAGATTTGAAAATCCTTTAGATTAATCTTCGGATTCCTTAAGATAAGTGGCTCTGCCTTATTTGTGTGGCATGGATTGAAAGCCACTAGCTTAACAAAAGCTGTCTTTGAAACTGATTCATGGAACTTATATCCTATAGAACAGCCTTTGCTGAACCCTTTCCTAATCATTTTACAAAGATGTCCTGAATTTGTTCAACCACATCAACTTAAATCCTCAAATGAATCACATAACAATCACCCACTACAAGCACCTAAGGTCAATGATGACCAAATCACTTTCAATCTCACAATATCTTCCAATTAGATCATATTACATATTAAATCGTGATGTGAAATTCAAATATTGATAAGTAAAAGCATCCGTTATTTCATTTTGGTTATGGGAAATGATCGTGATGTTGTAATTGACATTTGATAATTGATACACATTTCGTCATCACATTTCTTTTTAGAAATATAATAAAAAGTGAAATTGTCTTATGTTGCTACTGCAAGTTGATGAAAGTAACACCACATGGGCTTGCATTTATCACAATTTTATCTTTTTCAGATTCAAACTTTCGATTTTCAATTAGATAATAACTTTTATTAAATGTTCTTTAATAATGTTTTAATAACTAACCACTAAGCATGTTTTGGCACCCATTTTCCTGGGATTTTTCCAATTTTATCAGTTCTTAATTTGTGACACTTTCAACTTTTCTTTTGGGAATTTCTTCACCGTCCCTTGAAATATTTTTAAACACTTTCTTCTGTTTCACAAAAATAAAAACACTTTTCTTGCACTTTTAAGCACTGCGGCGTGTTATAGTAAACTGACAAATGCGTACAGCTGTATAACTATTATATACCGCCTCATCAACATTGGCAAATGGGTTAAAATAATCCCCCGAAAAAAAAAGTTGTAAGCATCAACAAACTATTTTCTTCGGTGAGTCGTCGTGCAGTGGCGTACCTCTTATGATCATTAGCCGAGAGAGTAAAAATATCGCTGAGTACTTTATGTATATCAGCTGTGGATGTAGCTTTGTGTGAGAAATATGTTGAAAAAATTGAGTGAGGAAAATCATGTTGGGTATTTTGTTTGTTTTATAGACATTATAATAGTTTGATGTTGATGTGTTGGAGACAACAGCGCAGTTTCTTTTTAACGGATATTTTACATGGCTAGCAACTGTTGCTTGATAATTTTAAATGGCTAGCAACTGTTGTTTATAAAATTTATGGCAAGCAAACGTTGTGTGACACTTTTATGGCAAGCAACTGTTGTATGACACTTTTATGGCAAGCAACTGTTGCTTAAGATTTTTATGGCAAGCGACTGTTGCCAAACATTTTTTATGGCAGACAACTGTTGCTTGTTAATTTCTTTATGGTGAACAACTGTGGCTTCATAATTTTATATGGCGCACAACTGTTGTATCAGAATGTTGTCATATGGTTTAAATATTGTAGTTTAAACCTTTCAGTGACAAAGTGACTTCCATAAAAGATATCATCATCAACAAAATACAGTCAGCATTTTCAAGTGCAACAAAATAAAACTGAGAGTGAAGAAGTAAATTTGCAGAGATACCATAAAGAGGGGAAATAATGTTTATTTCATTCAAGCCACAGTGTATGGCGCTCTAAGAGCTCCCCGCACGAGCCCGGTAATTACTTTCGCTTGTGAGATGTTTTTCTTTTCTTTTCTTCGCTCTCTGTGTGTTGGTTTTTTCACCGTTTTGTTTTGATCGTAAATTTCGCGATCATTCGGCTTACAAGCCGTAATAAATGTATCAATTCATCTGACAACTCAAAAACGTGGAATTGGACACAATTTTACAAAATATTTGCGCATTTTGTGTATCTGTTTCTACTTCTCCAATTCCGTAGGTAACCCAAGGCCATATATGCCAAGACTTTGTGGATTAATTGCAATTATTTCATCGACGGACTTTCCGATCTGCACAGAAAAGGTTTGAAGCTGATTATGTAACAGCTTCGTATTCTCTGTTGTTCCTGTATTGCATTTTATTGCAGTGAATAAAAAATATTAAAAATCGATTAAATAATCGCTCGTTTTCTTTTGAATTTCTTCTGAGGACAGACTGAGGGTCCACGAGCTGCAAAAAGAAAACTCATTACATATTGTTATAATGTTTAGCGCCTTTGGGAATGGAACTTAATGCATTATAAAATATCGAAAACGATAAAAACAAACAAACAGTTATCATCAATTAAAGCTTTAAGGAAAGTAAATGAGTGAGAGAGAAGGAATCGTTGGAGGTAGATGATGTTTAGGTTGACATGACTGGGATGTTCATATCTTGAAGTTTTGGTATAAGAATGTGGCCGGAGATTACTTTGTTCGTTGTTCCAACAGATCAGTTACAATTCATGATTTTTTATAGACGTAACTCATAGCTAGCACTATTGAAGAGTCGGAGGTAGATCAACAGCAGAAGCTAGCTTACTAGCAGACCACTATAGTTAAGAAAGGAGGGGGAGGTGAAATTTTGAATTTGAGACTGAACCTCAAGACTAATTCATCAGAGTTGAAAATTTAATCGAGATCATCTAAAATAGTAAATTTGTCATATGCACAAATAATTTTTGACTAGACGTTAATAAATGATAATTTTTTATAAAATATTTTAAATGCGTGCATCCGCATTGAAGATTAAGAAACCCCCCGAAAATGTCTTAGATGGTTTTGATCAGTAATGTTGAATTTTAAAAGCTTGCTCTAGGTTGCCATACTAGCTTGCACTATGTTTACTAGCTTGAACTAGGTTATCATACTAGCTTGCACTAGGTTTCCATACTAGCATGAACTAGGTTGTCATCCCAGCTTGCAGAAGGTTTGCACACTAGCTTACACTAGCTTTCCATACTAGCTTGCCACTTCAAGCCACCTTCCAATCAACCAATTATTCAAATATTGTTTATTCTCCATTAAATGACTAAAATATTTCCTAATTATCCTCTATTATCATTAAGCACCACAAGCACATTGTTATTAAAATTATTGTCATCGATTAATATTGATTGGATATTAAGTATCATTTAATGCAAAATATCCACAGCATTCGCTCATCAATTAATTGCATCGACATTATTATATAACTTCCTCCATTGAAACTGGAATCGTGTTATTATTATTATTGAGGATATTAAGTAACAGCAAATGATCTATATTTGCATATGTATGGCGAGAAAATGCAGATACAAAATAAGATTTTTTTTTTCAAGTTCCAACGTCGGTGCGAAAAAAGAATGCGCGAAAAGAAATATTTTCTCTCTCTTGTACAGGCATGAATATTAGATGGAATGTTTACATGTAGGTTGGGGTTGGAAGTAAATTGCATAATTTGATATCAGTTATGCCGCTATGTCTTGTTCCTGCAATGAGAGACAAAAATGTATTCAATTTCAAATCGGTCATCGAATTGCATTGACGATTGTGTTATGAAATTGTCACTTTCAGCTATTGCTGTGTGTTGACTTACTGGCTCATGTGACGATTGAAATTGTGACTTTTATGGATTGCTTTGTATGAAATTGACTTGGGGTTATTTTATGGATATTGGATAGTATGAAAATTAATGTTCGATTGAGGCAGGTTTGGAATATTCAGAGGTGCTTGAAAATCTGTTCCAATAAGTATAAGACTTTATGTAAGGAATGTCTAAAGCAAGTTCAAGAGGGTTTCATGACCAAAAACCAACCTAAACTCCCCAATTCACTCAATACTATAATTATGAATACCAGTGGCTTCTAACCTGTGTATCGTGGTACACAAGAACCCTAAAAAAGCTCAGATGCTCAACATTTCTTCAAATCCATAAGCAATCCACACATTTCCAGACATCTAATCAAAACCCAGTCACAACACAAATTAAATCACATCCAAAAAACAAGAAACTGTCTCAAGTATCAGGAAAGAGAAAAATCTCATTTGGAATGGAAACAAAAAAATTATGGAAACGGGAAATGTTTTTCATTTTTGTCATTAAAGAAATAAATATCATATAACTAAACTGTCGTTTGTAGATGCATGGCTCAAGTTCGGTCACAAAACTTAGCATTGAAAGAGCTCGAGGAAAAGCTCAAAACATGTTACATGACTTTCAAGTTTAGTAAAGCAAGATCATGGTTTGAAGTCAACTGCAATGAACCTTTCTAAAAAGAAATTCCAGTACACATAAATCGACATGTTTATGGCTGTGATGTAATATTGATAATAAATATTTATTGACTTGATTATCTTTATGGATCTGGTTGAAAGTCGTCCTATAAAATGTTGGAAGTGATTTGTTGACTTTGTGGAGGATTTTTCGAATGTTTAAGTCTGAGAATTTGATTGAATTGTTTTTTGGCGGGTTAAGAATTATTCTTAGAATCAGGACAGAGTTAGATGCATTGACATGGCTGGGTTGACACCCTATTATATGGGATTTGAGTCTAGGTCACATGTTAAAGACAGATCAATCAGGAGACACATGCAAATTCTTTCATATCCTTACCCTCAGACTCATGTGTCCTGTCTCATCCCATGTTGTTAATAATCCAGAGCCACATATTTAGTTGAACTGTTTAATCAGTATATAAACATCCGCACATACTCAGCAATTTTGTAGCAAATTAAACAATCGTCAAGTCAACTTATCTATTTAAATTACTCTCATTTTCCTACCGACAGTCAATAAATATTTTTATGATGCTTATTGAAAATATGTAATATTCAATAGCAATTTTCTATCTCCTTAGTCAACATGTTTATGGAAGCGGCAACAAATTGAGGAACAGCAATTTAATTTAGCTTAAATGATCTCGTTTCAATTTTTGATGCTTTTCGAGGTGAAAAACTTTCGATTCCTGTTTAAATGGCAGCTTGTATGCTGCATATATTGTAATTAGGTAGACTTCTATTTCCATCTTATACGGAACCGCAATTCTTGAACATATCGAGTCAATATTATGTAATATCTATCAGTTGAAAGAAATGTTACAGCAGCAGCAGCATGAAAAGCGTTAAAAGTTCACACAATTGTTTATCTATAAAGTAGATGAAATATTACAGAAATTATAGGCTACGATTAAGTGTCGAGACATGGAAGTAAAAATGAAAGAAGGTTACTAAAGTAAGAAAATATTGCATAATCAATATAACAGTGCAGAAACGGAACCTTCAAGCTTTTCACTCATGTAAGTCTTTTTTATGCAAATTTTAAAATTGCTGTAGATGCATTAAATAACCAGAATGATTGCTTCTCGATTGTGATTGATTCGATGAGTAATTGTGGGTATGATGGCAATAAATTTATATCATTTAAGGATGTCGATGTCTCAAGGTGAATAATTGGATTGATTAAATGAATGCTGGAGAGCTTGAAAGTGAAATGTACAAGTTGGGGGATCTGAATTTTGAATTGTTGGTCATTGTGTCAGTTTCTGTTTCCTGTAAGGCTTTATGTTGAGGAAATCATGCTTAAGTGGTAATCTAAGTTTGAAAAATCGCAGGTATCTATGAAATATTGTCAAATTGTTTCGATTTTAGTTGCAAATGAACTTTTGATTAAAATAGTCGTGACAGTCAACATATTAAGAAGAACTTTGAACAACTTTTGGAACAATCCTTGGATCAAGATGTTTTTGATGTAAAGCTAATTTGTTGCACTGAATCCAATCAGTAGAGGTTCAAGATCTTGTTTTTGATATTTTTGAACATCAGTGCTGATTCCTGTGACCCAAACTCTTGCTGTTTATGAAGACTTAGAAGCAAAAACTTTCTTGGTAAGTACAAAAATTAATTTAACTTCCACAAATCCATAAACCATT